TCTTTCAGCTGTCATAAAATCCTAATTATTTCTTAGAAATATTTATTACAGTCTTTTCATGTTTTGTACACTAGAAGTCTCACTTTTTACAAGAAAAACATTCAGAAAATAGAGGAGAGTGGGGAGAATGATGGAATCTGTTCCACTTCGGACGACTACGTAACACCACCTCGGGTTTTGCGTTGATTTATTTATTTTTCCCCCAGCGGGGGGGTTGCATGTGCTGATCAGGCCAGTCTGTCTGGGTTGGCGGGGCCCCTCTCTCCCACCTCCCTCCTGTCCCCACAGGCAGCAGCCCTGGCGAGGTCCCATTTATTTTTCCCCCAGCGGGGGGGTTGCATGTGCTGATCAGGCCAGTCTGTCTGGGTTGGCGGGGCCCCTCTCTCCCACCTCCCTCCTGTCCCCACGGGCAGCATCCCTGGCGAGGTCCCAGGACCGTGTCCTAGCCCAGGGTCAGCAGCCACAGGCGGCAGGCAGCTGGTGGGAGCCAGTGGGGGCTCCGGGGCTCCAGGCACTCCGAGACAGATCCCCTCTGACGCCAGGCTCTCTGCTCCCCGGCCCTTCCGCTGGCAGGGTCTCTCCTTTTGAAAATGAAAGCGAAGGAAAAAAAAAACAAAAGAGGAAACTGGGTGATGTTCTTTCTCGCCGTTCATTGTGCCGCGGGTACGTGTTGTACAATATTCTCCCTGCGGAGCAGCGGGCTGGTTTCGATCCTTGGCACCGCGCTCTACGCTCAAGGACGTCCGAGGTGAAACACTTCATTATTATTCTGTCGTTAGCACCGTGATGCAATTCCCAGCCCACCGGCAGCTGCCAGAGCGGCGTCACTCAGCACGCTGCCAGGTATCGCAAACACGCGGGGCTGAGGCTACTCAACAGCCTCTGGGGCAAGAGTCCTTCCTGCTTTAAATATTGAATTTCTCTGCCATGCGCTTTCTGTATTGGTAAAACAAGGAGCAGTGATGTAAATATAGGGCTGGGAATTTGGAAACGTGCTGTTTGTAACAGATTCCATTGCCGTATTTTAGGCATGTTTTATCTCAGAATTAAAAGCATTCCCAAACGTTAAGTTTCACAACATCCATGAATGTGAGGTAAGCATCAGAATTATGCTCGTCTTAGGATGAATCAGCCAATCCCTTGCGCTTTCTTCCCAAAACGCTCCCCTCGGCAGAACCCTCCCTTACCTCCTCACTGCTGGGCGGAGCAGCACCGCCGCTGGGGGCGCAAAAAAACCACCGCCCCGTCCACCCTCAACCCGCTCCCACCACCACCGGGACTGCGGAACGTGCTGGAGCTCTTAGGGATTTTTTTTTTTTTTTTTTAATTTTAGCTTTTTTAGGGATTCCTGATCCCTAAAAAGGACTTTTTTCCAGCATGCTCACAAAGCACTTGGTGGCCAAACGCTTCCCTGGAAAACACGACGTAGCTATACAAATACGTACTACAGCGATAGCGGCCCAAGCCCTGGAGACAGATATACCAGTATTAAAGTTTGATGTGCTGAGTAGAGACCGACTGTTCTGCGAATCCTACTGGACATACAGCAACCATATGCTAAATTTTATTGGTAGTGTAGTTGGAACCGAACTGCCTTTTAACCACATTCTCAAACTATGAAACTCTGAACCCAGCCTTGGATTTTCTTCTGTACTCCAGAAACGGTCAGAACACGGGCTGGGTCACTCAGCCCAGGTGTGTTCGAACCGTGGAGATCTCCCGTGTCTTACCCGAGAATTCCCACATGGAGAAAGGTTTGATGAGCACTAAACGCTTCTGTGCGTGCGCACCTATGGTCTAGATGCGGTGGGTTTATCGCTGCACCTTCGGCTTGGTATCGCAGAGGAGCTCTAGGAAAAAACAGCACGCGACAGTTTACCTCCTCATCGCTGTAAAAGTTGGCAGATGTGTAAAAGGCGAATGACATGCAGACGCTACCGATATAGCCTTCAGCTGGCTAGGAAACATCATCAAGGCTTCCATTAGTTTTTTTAGTGCTCGAGGTTGGTAAAATAGAAAAAGATGAAAGCCATTCCATTGTCATTCTGGGAGCGTCAAGGCAGGATCACCGCTGTGGTCCTCTGGAACCGTTATGACACAAAATGGCAATATCCTAACAGCAAATATAATTACTCCGGAGGCGTTTAGGTCCTTTTCTGCAAAACCTGTCTGCGTTTCCAGAAACTGTGATTTTTTTTTTTTTTAAAACCTCGTGGCATGCTGTTTTCCTTCAAGCCCCATCTGCTGTAGTCAGGTGATTACATCATAGGGGAAAAAAAATAAGTAAAACGGCCTATTTGCACCGAAAGCCACGAAAGCCTTCTTAAAGCCTCAAACCCGAAAGGAAACAACAACACAAAGACCTCTGCAGCGTTGCCAAGTTCTGCCTTTATCGCACATTTCTCCAATTTCTGTAACATCATGCAAGAAAAACAACTTTTCGCAGAGGAAAAGGGGCGGACGCGCCCT